CATGAAGTAACCTTGGTTCGTTTTTCCCTGAATAAAGAACATTATATGGTATATAAGCAGGGAGCAAACCAACACTCACTAGCACTGATGATGTCACCTAGTCAGGTAATGAAATGTCTGCAAGCAAATAACCAGGCTCAGAGAGCACCAAGGACTCCACAGCTCAACCGTGAGCTACAGATATTCTTTTCTATTGGATATATATATATCCAATATAGTGGATATCCAATATACAGTATATATATAGACATACACACACAGTCTGTTTCTGCACCTCTCCCAAATTTGCTCCCCTATGAATCCATGGCCATTCTATTTTCTTTAATAGCTGTCCTAGAGACAAAAGGAATAGTGGGGATCTTATCTAAAGGTGGGAATCAGTTCCTGAGCAGGAACGGGCAAGGCAAATTGTGAAGTGATAGTGGGGGCTTCTCACACCGTGTCTGGGGGTCACCGCTCCTCCTGTGTGGCTCTCCAGATGGTGACATCCAAGTCTTGTACTCACATCCTAGCATTTGGGGGATGGGATCATAAATACTGTACCTGTCGACAGGGTTGTGTCGCTACTTCTTTGCCTTTCTAAACATGGTGCAGATCATGTTTTCCTGATGTGGAGAGGGGCCCATGAATCGCTGTGCTCCCCGCTGCATGCCGCGAAAGACCCTGGATCATTGCTCTCCTCCTTTTCAGTAGTTAGGAAAATAAATAAATAATAACCAGCCTGCAGAACCAGACAGTGAGATAACGTCCTGGCAGAATATCCTAGAACGGAATTTTTCAAACTGGGTTTCATAAGGACTTGAATGTGTTCTGCAGGATTAAGGGGAAGAAAGACCAACTGTCTACAAGCAGCTAAACCTTAAGTCACTAAGGGACAGCAAAAAGGCAGAACTTGTCAGCTGAGTTAAGAAGCCCCACCCCTCTTGATCTGGGCCGCTGGGAGTCTTTCTTTTCTTTTTTCCAAACAGGTTCCACACTTTGAAAAAGTTTGAAAAGCCCTGCCCTGCAGAACATACACTCTGGAGACCATGGGAAAGGGTCAGCATGCCTCTTTAAGGGAATAAGATTACTTCTGAGTTATTGGTCTAGTGCTTTGGGGTTCCTGACTTGTTCCTTTTCTTGTCCTCTTTCTTTTCTCCAAAAGAAAGAAGGAAGTGGGGGCTTAACAGGGTCGAGCACCAAATATTAGTGACTGCTGAAAATCACCAGCACAGTTCCCCACCGTTTTGAAACAGGACGCAGATGAAACTGTAGCTTAAGCCCTACAATAGGCCACAGAGACTTTGTTTATTAAAAACAATCCCCCCTCCAGTCCAGGAATTAACAGAAAATACAAGCCAGCCCTGTTCATTCTTTATTATCCCTCCATCGACAGTCTTTTCTCTGCCCCTCCAAACAATATGTGCAGCATCTGAGCCATCAAAGGGCAGGTCTTGGGAAACGTTCCGTACAGCATACGCTTCCATAGCACTGGCAAATAAAACGGGTAGAAGCTGGTAGAAGCAAGTATCTTCCAGTGTAGAAAGGCTGGTGCATAAACATTAGACGGGTGATGTTCATGAAGGTTCATCGCCATCATGCTGGAAAAAGTGCACAGTGGACCCTGCAGTGGCCACTCTCTTACTTGGTCCACGTTTAGATTCCTTCTACCAGCTATGGCTGTTCTGGGCAAAGGTCTCCAACTGGCTTTCCCAAGTGCAACAACCCCTCACTCTTAAAGAGGCACGTATTATCAGTACCTTAGCAGTCACCTAATTGTCTTCCTCCTCCTCCTCCTCCTCCTCCTCCTCCTCC